AGGCGGGATGTGGCAAAACTCTCGCTGCTCTGTCGCTACTTTCACGGAAAGTGCTCGGAAGAACTACATTCCTTGATTCAGCCAGGCCTAACCTTCACGGTAAGGACCCGCCATGCCACCACCCAGATTCCCTTCGTATTCCATCGGTGAGAAGTAAGTTCCACCCGAATATCTTCATGAGAACCGCTGCTCTGCAGAACCGACTCCTAAGAGGATGTTTCCCCGATCACTACAATCTTAACCCGTTCATGTTTAGGTTTAATCGTAACCTTTCTCTCCTATCCATACAAAATGCCTCTTAACTTAATCCTCTACTTCGAGTGGCCCCGTGGCGTTGTACAGAGTGAACTTGACTGTAAAATAAAAGAAACATCACAATGGAACCCTATCTATCTCAATGTGTTAGATGGCCATTGACCCTACTACGTAAATTTTGTAGTAAATATCTAAATAAAAGCAAAGAGGAGTTTTAATTGAAGTAGACGAGATATTTATGGAGATCTTCGTAATATAAACAACGAACTTCATTTACACAAAACAATGGACATAAATCTTGAACGTGAGTGTCTCTTGCATCAAATCAAACGGTATATGAACGTCAAACTAAACAATCTGCCTGAAAAGAGTTAACAGGTAAAGAAGATTCCTCGACACACCCTCGATTTTCAAATAGCAGGCCGTTGTTGAATACGCTTTCCACGGCCAAACAAATGAAATTCTTTCTACCAACATCAATATCCCGATTTGGTAAACTTGTCTCTCACAGTGTTATGTTAAAAGAATGTAGTCTTTTTGTTTACAGCAAAACTATCAGTTACAAGCGTGAATCATTTCGACCGTTTCGTGGTTCTCTTTTGTTGGGAATTGGGTGTTTGGAAAGAGATAATAAATACAATCACTCTCCAAGGTCCACTATAGGCATTAGTATATCCGTGACATACTAACGTCTTAACACGACGGAAGGAAGGATTAGAACAGCTCAAACAAATGACTTCCATAAATGAAGCTTACCACTAAGTAGCGTGGAAACACCGGATTCCATACTATGCCCGAAGTAAAACAACGTCGAGCCTGGTCAGTGTATAGATAGGTGACCGCTTGAGAATACCAGGTGCTGTAAGTGTGGATGTGCAGGTGGTGTAGTGGAATTCCATTTTAGGTTGGGTTCATTAAATTCACTTACGTGCAAATACCTTTGGGAAAGATATGGATCCACCTCTTCTCTCTCACCAGTTATGGGTTAATTAGTCGGACTTGTAACATTAAATCATTAAGCGGGGTACTAGACTGGCGACGAGGTATCACCAATTTATAGATGGGCTGGCTAGATGTAACCGTAAATTCTATGTTAACAGTTTCTTTTCTCTCAATCTAAAAATATGTTCTGGCTTTGAATAATCTGCAAAGTGTTGATAGGCCGTAGAATCAATCAATCAATTCATAAATGAGTTATCCTTGAAAACATTTTATATATAGTATTGGAGTACGCATATATAAGTCATACTAAGATGCACTATATAAATATATTTCTAAACTTCACAAATTGTCTCACACGGAAAAATTAAGTTACACGCTGTTACCCTCCTGTATCTCTTGCCTTCAGTGTCATGTAAATGTCAAATTCTTCATTCCTTCTTTCCTCATTATGTGGCCAAGAAATTTCAACTATCTCAGTGTTCGTAAAGGAATGGTATCCAATATGTGTTCAGATGAAGAGACAGAGTGTTAAAATCTGAATTGCGAGAACTACATTAAAACAAAAAAAAGAAATAAAAATAAAATTAAAGTTCATTTTTATTTCGTGAGAAATTAATTTTTATTTTATTTCTCACATTTTCGTCTACAACTGCTGAAGCAGGGCATTCATCCATTTTGACCTAACCAGGAATCAGCGGAATTGTAACAGAAATAGAATAATTCCTTAGATATTCGCGAACACACCTGAAAGACACGAAGAACAAAGAAGTTAAAGAATGAACTGATTATATAATTACTTGAAACAATACATCCTTTTATTTTTCAATCATGAAACATTGTTAGTTATTATTTGATCCCATTGAAGTATCAGGTTGCAACGAAATTTTGTCCGAATTTATCAAATGAAGATATTAATGCTTGTAGAAATATTTAATCATCATTATAAATTCTATTGCTTTCTAGGGCCTCATTCCAACTTTCAACAAATTTATAGTTGTCGCGTTTGTAAAATTCTTTAAGTTTTGATGTAAAATACGAAAGAACTCATGTCCAACCTTTTCTCTTATTGTCAGTTTTATGTCATCCAAATGTTTCTATAAACACAAGTGATAATCAGAAAGTACAAAATCGGTATAATATGGAGGAAGAAGCATTTTTCCTAATTGAAATCTCTCGTCAGTTGTGCCGTGTGAGGACAGGCAACATCGTGATGAAGCATTATTCCCTTTCTGTTGACTAAGAATGAACGTTTTCTGCCAAAAGCTATTTTCAAACGAAGTTGTTGGTAGTAGAGATCAGCATTGATAGTTTGATTATTGTCTAACAGTTCATAATGGATGAATCATTGAAAATCCTGCCATACACTCAATATAATCTTCTTTGGATGAAGATCATCCCTTGGTTACTGAGTAGGTCTGTTTCCTCGACTGATCCACTGAAGGCGACGCTTAACATTATGGGTCACTTGGCGGTCGCTTATTGACGTCACTTCATACAGTGACGAAAGTGGTCAGTAAGGCATACAGTTCGTTTACAAGAGCTAAACGAAACAGTCGTTTGTTTGACTCGGGCCTCTTATAAGCTTATAAGCACATGGCACAGTTTCCTTTTGGGAATATATCATCCTCAGCCATAGAAAGAATCTCTGGTTAGTAGTCCTCATTTTGAGAAAACCCAAGACACACCGTTTCCAGTTCGTGGAATATATCCTCGGATGGGATATCCCATCCGCTTGAATATGAGGTCGTAAACATGGCTTCTCTAGAAACATAGAAAAATATCCATATTATATGTAAGACCCTACCTTTTCGTTCTCCTTTCATTCTACTTGTCATGCAATGACTCGCACCAATCGACATGTTGTTGGAGACTGGTCGTGTGGGACACATTTTCACTGAAACATTTCCAACTGTTTTCAATTCACGTAATACTAATGATTATTATTAAATTTCACACTATGTTCTCTTGTAGAGGATTATTATTCATTCATAACATTGGAAGTTACCATCTGTAAAGTTATGTCGGGATTACCTACAATTTATAGAGTGAATTCGGATGGTTGTTCAAAGAAACTCAGTACATTTAAATTACTTCTTCAACGACTTACAGGGCAAAATGAGAATTAACACAAAACAATATATAACAGCAAACAAATTTTCACTTATATAGCATAAGAAAATGCAACGATTTATGCTGGAATTAATTCACATTTGTAAATGAAATCTGTGTGGTGTTTGTTTAAATCTTTGTATAAACTTGTTTTGGAGGGTTTGGAATGTAGTTTGTGAGTTTAACTGAAAGGCTGTATGCTGAAGTTGTGACGAAAAGTTCACAAAGTCAGGGAAAGTATTAAAATCTGTTTACGTGGAATTTAAACAGTTTTGTGCAATGTAAATTTTCAATGTAGTTTGGAATAAATTTAGTTGTGGTAAAAGTTATCTTCCTTTGACCGTTTTTGTCAAGAAATAATGTTGAATTGTTTGAGCAAATTCAGAAGAGAAATAATGTTCTGTGATTGAGGTGATAAGCAATTCTCTGCTGTGTAATAAACAAAGTTGAATATAAAGATGAGTGAGTGATGTCTGAAGATTTGGATTATATTAAAAGGTAACTTTAAAAACTTCAGATGATAAAATGACGTGGATTTGTTTAACAACTGGTTTGTAGTCACGATGCTCCCTAGTGAGATGAGTTTGCGCCCTAAATTTATTTACTTGGATGGACACGTGATAGGCTCCAGAAAATTAGTGCCAAAATATTTAACTCGATCACGAGATGAAAAATAGATGCGCGTGAGTGGATGGCGACGCTCACTTGCTTGTTTATGAGCCAATCATCAAGCGAATTCTTGGAAACTATGTGTGGAGCTGGTTTTGTATAAGAATATGGCCGTGATGCACTTTTAAATGGCTTTTGCAAAGATTTTTAAAAAAATCTTGCAGTGATCCACTTTTAGATGGTGTTTTTACAGAAGTGTAGAATTACGATTCTACACCCTTGCTGTAGGACTTACTGTAACAGCCGCTTCCAAATCCTCTGAAGCAACTCCTTTTAAACGATATTCCCTTGGATTGTCCTCTGGACTAAAGTGCTCAGTTTTGAAACGTGAACACCACCTCCTACAACTTCTTTCACCCAATGTATCGACCCGATAAGTGTGCTGGATAGATTTTGCACTGCACTTGCGTTAACACTTTTATGAAACAGATAGAATACAATATTTCTAATGTGCTGTTTAGTTGGGACACATATAGTGGCAAGTTTCGAACTATGAATAATACTCTTATAATCTGAAAGAAAAAGATAAATCATTCATAGGAACATTACTAAAGAACATATAGAGGCAAATTTTGTTCAACATTTTCAACTCAAAAATTGGACAAAACCTTTGTTCCAACCTGATACAATTTTTCTAATTAATGAACAAAATTCAAATTCTTTTTCCATAAAGGAAATTAAATCAGAAAAGTTAAAATAATAAATTAACTTATTGCATTATAACATGAAGGAAGTAAGTGCATGATTGTCGCTCATTAAGAGTCAGAAATCTTTTTCTTATTCAAAAGGACTTAGTATGACACAGTAATATAAAGCCACGCCTGCTTCCACGATCTAGAAGTACGGAGATTACCGATATCAGCTTGACACAAAATAGACCGACGTTTGCTTTCTCAATTGAAACATACGGAAATTACCGAGAAGTGCCGAGTCCACATTAGACTGCTGATGCTCGACTGGTCGATCAGGCAAATACGGCTGTACTGGTTGGAAAGATGAAAATTAGGTCGTTACCGAGCGTCGTTATGCGTCGTCGAATTTACCGATCTTCCGTTAATACATTAAAACAGAGCCGGGTTCTTTTGCAATCTTTTTCTTTCTTTTCTTCTGTTTCCTCTAATTTCAATTTCCCAGCATTCAACTCCGGTTGCGTGCTTGACGATGAAAACGAGGCTCGCTGTTTATCGCCTCTTTCCGGTTGTTTATCCCAGAGTGCCGTGCCGCGCATGCTCCTTGTTCACACTTCCGGTCCGACATTTTAGCCGTTGTCGAGCGGCAAATACGTTCTGAAGAGTCAAGAAACATTTTTGTCTCGCGTGAAAAAAAGGCGGCTTACTGTTTGTTGATTAACACATTGGATTGGAATACCATTTCGTTGGTGTGTCTCGGCGATCGGCCAAAATTAACCGTCTCGTCCAACAACAATGTCAATTCACGCAGACTCCAAACAGGAAGTAAGTGCCTGTTAGTGTTAATGTTTCTTGCTTTCTGTTGCTCTGTTTTTTGTCTTATTCTTGAAATTATGTTATCTACATTGGTTTTCTTGTTTCTTCTATTGAAACCTGCTTATCAACTTCTATGACTACATATTTAGCGGAAGTAAACATAAGATAGCCACGCTGTCTTGCCTTCTTTTATGATTACTGTCCTTGTTTCTGAAGTCTTTTCCGTTTATTTATGTCATAAGGTTTTGCAATTGTTTTCTAGATTTTCAGCCCATGTATTTTCCAGTAATCATATCTGGCTGACTGTCGGAGATTTAATCGCACTGATGACACGTTTTTAGGTAAAAATTAATAAAAGTAGACAATTCATTGACCCGTTGATGGTCAGGGACCCCGATCAAAATGTGAACTACAAAATAGGGAAGAAATTGTGAAATCATTGGTATAATTAACAAACAGTAGGCTATATAATGGTCCATTTATTATTATTATATAAATATGTGTGTGTATAAAAATAAGTCCAGCAGAAGAAATTTTTTTATTGATATGGGGGATGGGTGGCTGAGAATGCTGAGTGAAAATGGAAAATTCATAAATGACGTGTTTTGCCGAGAGCTTTACCCTCCCTGGCTTCCTCAGGTTTGAATGAAAGAAAGAAAGCTAAAACTGTCTTTCATTCTAACCTGAGGAAGTCAGAGAGAGAAGACACTTTCAGCAAAATGTGTTGTTTATAAATTTTGCACTTTTTCTCATCGTCTTCACTTTTGTTTTGGATACTATTATACACCCCCTCCATATATATATATATATATATATATATATATATATATATATATATATATATATATAAAACAGTGTGAACATAAAAAGCAATGTTAATTGACAGTTTCCAAGCTTAATACGTGTAACTGTCTTTTGCCATATGGCATATAGTTTTGACTTTTGCATCCACACTGTTTATAACTTTAAACTCTTCCAACAAATTTTAAACAGTATATATAATATATATATCTATATCTATATATATATATATAAAGGAACAAAATGAATAAAAAGAGAAAAAAATTTATTCTTAGCCAATGCATTTCATCTTCTGAGAAGCTTTATCAAGGAAATGTAGGATTTTTGTTTTACGTGTTTATAAATCTGTGTGTGCGCACAATGCAAAACAATTACTAAACTGAAATGTAAATCCAATTAAATACAGACTATCGCTAATTATGTTGACTGCAGTGCTCAGTATCCTGAGGACAGAGTTACATAGTGAAATGTTACGTTTCCTACATGCTATTAAAAACGTGACAAACATACTTGTAATTAAGTTTCACAGTAATTAAGCACACCACATAATCCATTTTGTGCTCTGATAGAACTAATTGTCAAATGCTTAACACACACACACACACACACACACACGTGCATATATATATATGTGTGTGTGTGTGTGTGTGTGTGTGTGTGTGTGTGTGTGTATATGAGCTGAAAAGTTCTCAGCTTGACCAAGAAATTACTTTAGAAAAAATTTGGTCATTTGGTCTGACTATTCTAAAAACTTCTTAGTATCTCTAGTGTGTGTGTGTGAGAGGTAGATAGAGGGTTAGACATGTATACCTACAGACTTCTGATTTGTCCCATATTCATTACAAAGGCCAGTTGATTGAAGAAAGCAAATGCCACTTTGGTGAGAATTTATTGAACATGCAAGTAAAATGAACTCATTCATTTTAAAATTAATGAAGAAAAGAAAAAAAGGCCCTGATAGTAAGAGTATGAAATGTCTACTCTTTCAAGATTGATAGTGAATGGAACATTTTTTTACACTTCTCTGAGGGTGATAGTTATGGGAGACCAGTTTAACCAAGTGGTCACTCAACCAATCTCTTCTCAGTTCCTCATCATGCCATGCTACATACTTGCAACAAACCATTTTTACCAAGATATGTAGGGAAGGGAAAATTAGATTCAAGAATATTTATTCTAAGTCAGGATAAGCTACCGCAGGTGGAATTTGAACTTGGTTTGACCGTTTCCATTTATTGAGCCGATATCCTCTGTTAAATATCTGCAGGAGCTTTATTTACTGTGGATGATGGATATTTCTATCATTGAACAAAGTTCTCCTCACTAACTGTGCCATACTTTGTGCCAAATCATTCTCTTACCCTAACCCTAACCCAAATCATTTAGAGATTCTTGATAAAATCCAAAAAAGAATCGGCAGTGTTATTGATCCTGGTCTGGCATCTTGGCCTCAGTCCCTTTCCCATCACCATAACATAACTTCCTTGTGGCTTTTCTATAAATTTCTTTCATGGTAATTATTCCGATTAAGTTTCCACTATGACATCTAGACTTTATGAATTTAAGCACTGTACTAGATAGCAGTTAGGTTTTATCATTTTACAGTTGAAATGATTAAATGTAACCGTAAGTTCTATTCGTAAGTTTCTTCTCTCATATTTCTCACTTGTGGAACTCTGTTCTGTCTTCTTGCTCCCCAGTCAAAACTAATCTTCAAAAATTTAAATGCAATCTCAATCATTATCTTCTGTCTTTTTAATTCTTGTTCTTTTATTTTTCTCTCTCCTTAATAGTCATTTTTCTCATATTCTCTATCACCCAGTAATCCCTTGCATCCTTGTGGCATTATTGCCTTGCTTGAAGTGAATGATTAAAAAAACCCCAAAAAACTAAGCTATGCTTAGTATATCATTTGTGCACCTCAACTTGGTGTAATGTTTAGCAGGTTTGTCTTGTGTGAGTAGTGAGTTTCATCCTTGATAGGTGTCCCATACTTTTGTATTGTGTCACAACTAAGCTACACACAGAATTTTTTCCAGATTTATATAGTTTTCTTTGAGATAAAATAAGTACTATGTAGTTATTCATTACCACCAGCATCATTAGTTAATGCTCAAACCTGGCTCAAATAACAACCACAAAATAGTAAAAGAAATCAAATTTATCCCTTATCTGAATTGCTGCACTCTTACTATGGCACATTAATTCATTCAGTTCACTTACTCCTTCCATTTTGCAACATTTCAGCTGCTGTACTCTCTGACCATTCTTGTGTTTGTTTCGGAGGTTTTCATATTCAGTACGGAGATACCTTAAAACAGTCGGAAAGTATAGTCAGCGTATTTTAGTGAAGTTTTTTAGTCATATCCTGTAGTCTGTTATGGTCATAGGTGTTTGTAGGTAGATCTACTGCCGCCGTAGCAGCAGTGGTGTGTCTTGGGTAAGATAACCTGATGGAGCCCATCTCTCTTTAGGCTAGTCTTGAATTCAGAGTTTTCCTTCTCTTAGACTGGCAAGAGAGCCACTCCGCTCTACTATTTAACCTATAGATAGAATAAGATAGATTCATGCCTTTTGCCAAGAGCTTTAGCATGCAGTGAATGAAGCAGAATTGATAGAAATTTGAACACAACTCACTCAAAACCTTTACACTGTTTGCGCATCCAATATTTCTAGAAAGAGAGAAAAAAATTGGTACAGCTGGAACTCTGAAAGCTGATTCTCCAGAGTGGCAAACCTTTTCATCTTTGAAACTTGGTGCAACATAATTCTTTTATTCCTTCCTTTTATTCCTTATTCTGTCCACTTGGTCAAGTGCCATAATAAGCTAAGCTTAGAAAATACCTAGAATTTTGCCCATTAAATTTAACACATGCAATTGCTGGATTTGATAATTTCAAATTTCATCATGTTAGTTCATCCCAATTTGCTGATAGTTGATTCTTTAAAAATGGTATTGTGCTGAATGACATCTTGCTTTCTGTTATGCTCACTCACTGACTCATTTTCTTCCTGATAGCTGGGATCTTTGTCTTTGTTTGTTTTTTAAATAATTTCATCCCAAGTAAGTGTCAATGACACTAGGATGCAAGGGCTTACTGGAAGTGTAAGAGAATGAGAAGACTTTAGTGTGGAGAAAAGACAATAAAATAACAGGATTCAGGAAGATTGGCATTGTGTTTAAATTCTTGAAAATTATAGATGACAGGTTTTAGATAACATGATTGTGGGTAGCAGGGAAGCAAGAAACAGAAGTGAGTTCCACAGGTGAGAAATGTGAGAAAAGAAACTATTATATTAGAACAATGGTTGCATTTAGTTAGTTCAACAGTAAAACGGTGATGCCAAGTTGCCGATCTAGTAGCACACTTAAATTAATGTAGTCAAGTTACCAAGGAGGAAAGTTCATTAGAATAATTGCCATGAAAATATTTGTAGAAAAAACAGAAGGAAGCTATCAGAGCTGTTTGAGGTTTCACATATCCCCACTGAACTTAAATAAAGTCAATTAAGGTTTGCTATGGTAAAAATTTTCTATCCCAAGTAAAAATCATCACAAAAATGGCGAAAGTCATTTTGTCACAGCTTATTTTCTCTGAAAAAATGGATTTTCATACTTTTATAGGGGTAAAATATTGAAAAATGACTGTTTTATTATCATCTAAACAAATATCAAGGAAACTTTTGATCTGAACCACATGAAACTAGGTATTTTCTGAAAGCAAAGGATATATTCTTTCATTTAAAAGTAAAATTGGCTGGTGTAATTTGACTCAAATTTTTTTTTTATGGGGTAAAATGTGAAAAAATAGTGAAAATTTTGCATTTTTTTTTAGTTCTAAACAAAAATTTTCCCCATTAATGGGAAATTAACCATTTTTTGGGGAAAATCAGAAAGCCTAAATCATAAACTATTTCAGGCATAAAATTGAGAGTTTTGAAGGAAATCAACATTCCTAGGGGGTCAAAGTCCATTAATAATTTTCAATTATATGACTGCCAGCGGTTAAAAATTATTGATACCTGGCCATGGAAATCTTTAGTAAAAGGCAAAAGATTTATCTGTAATTCCTGACCAACAGAAACCAAAAGTTTTTTTTTTTTTTTTTTTTTTTTTCAAAAATAGCAGTGATAAGGAAAATTAAACCAAATTGACTTTGACAGTCCTGGGTCAAAGGTCAGCCAGCCAGCTAGCCAGCCAGCCAGCA